AATACGGCGTATTATGAGAGTTTGTACAATTTAGGGCACAGAGACTGTAAAAGCGCCCAGTAGAAACGGGAAGCGTGTGCTTAATTTACGACCAATACAATCATCATCTGGTATAATGGTGAAATGGAAATTCAAGCATGTTACTAAAGACGCTTTTCCTTCAATAGCAAATATGAAGCTGAAATGAACGTAAAAGCAAGTAGCTTGCGTCTAGATCAAGACAATCTGGACATTTTGATTTTAAAACGATAAAAAAATGGAATTAATGTGTGTGTTATTGGGTGAAGACACACAACAACATAACCAACATTAAATCATAGGAGCATACAATCTGTCAATCTGACCAATTAAATTCCAACGTCGGCAACTGCGAACTGCACAATATAAATCATGAAAACGCGAGCAACGACAACGGTATGCCAACTTGACGAACGGAACGAACTGCAAAATTAATAAATCCAGCTTAATGGCGACAATATTAATTTGTTTGGCTTCGGGAATATGCTTTCTTCCAGTACTTTTTTAACAACACTGCGAGTATTCACACACTTTTGGAGCAATTTTCTGGAATAATTTCGGAAATGGAACTCTCAAGGAATCTTTCGTTGAACAATAGTAGCGCTTTATGTAAATTTCGACCGGCTTCCTCGTATATCACCACTGCTTCAGTTCTTTGTTCGTCGATAGAAAAAACAATAAACTCATCAGATATTTAATTGGCAATCGGTCATTGGAAAACCACTGAAATAAATGATGTACAAATTGAAGGTTGACATGAGGATGGACAGATCTTCAAAACAAGGTGTCACTCGACTACCCATTCCATTAAGAAAAATAAACGAAAATGGCGTAGAACTGTCACTTTGACATTTTCAGCAGTCATTTTTGTGTCAAAAGATGGACAATTTGATTTTATGTAGGTGTCCCAAGTTTCTTGACAAGAGTATTAAGGTTTAAAAAATTAAAGGGGAGTCTCATTATTTACGCGGGCACTGTATAGTTATAAGGCCAAAATGACTAATTTGCCAATTATTGATTTAGATTCGTCCGCACCATTTTGAACTCTTGTGCGAAGCTAGCTTATGAACACGCTCAGCAAATGATAGAGGATCCGACAAGGTAAGCGTCCACATAATATAATAATCAAGGAAAAATAATTTTTCCTTGATAAAATCTCTTTAAAAATCAGATCTTTACCCGTATGCGCGCCAATGATAAACATTAACACTTCGGATCTAAGAATACTAATCATTTGTGGATATACGAATCATAAGCAAATTGTAATTTTTCATGCACAATTACCCCCTGAAATTTGTCGCACTTATTTACTAACACCCTGCAAATAAATCCATATCTAAACAGTTCGGGTTTATTATCACAATTATTATTAAAGATCTTTGATTGTTCCGTTGTTGACTGATTCCACTCATAGCAAAAACCGCATGATTTGAACAACTATTAATATAAAATTGTATCTTTATTTAAGTTCTGTCAAGATAATCCACATTGGACAGTGGAAGATATTCCTGTTTCTGATCCAAGCGAGAATTCAGAGAACCATAAAAAAGTGTTTAGACTAATCATCGACTTTCCAGCAACCGCAGGAAGTCCTGAGCCTTCCAGAATGGTCGTAGAAATGTTTAGCGTAGTGAAAGTGAACCTTATCAGGATACCAAATAGCTACAAGCTGGAGCCATTCCTTATTAGGCCAGTCATGACAGCTGTTTATATGAAAAACTTTACCGCTCCAGCAGAAAGTACAAACTTAGATATTTAACATTCTTCTTTACTAAGAAATGCCACAGGAATCATATTTTTTACTTTATACCCCTGAATTTAAAAATATATTTTTTAAACGTACTCATGTTCTGTGGTTGTGATAATGATTGTTACATTGTGATTACGTCTTTAGACTATAGATCGTTTGATTATTTAAAATAAGTCTTAAAGAGTTTTATTTGACTCAAGTTTTTTATTGCAAATTGAGAAGGTTGGTTATAAATGTAATTATTCAGGCTACGCATATCACGACGTCAATTGAATTTTTTGAACTAAAGAAAATAACGTATTTAATTTAAAAAACAGTAGCAACAAATTGTATTGTAAAGTACGTATGTAAGTGTAAAGTGTATCAGTAAAGGGGAAGTCAGGAAGCCAGTAGAGGCTTTAGTTAAGGTTTAGGTGAGATACGCGAAAGTTAACGGACGCTCATTCGAGTGCTGAAAGTCTTAGATTTATTTTGTTTTATTTGATTTTGAATTGAAACATAGTTAATTGTGAGTTTTGAGGTATGAACATGTTACCGTAAACATGTCTTAATGTGTAATTATTGTCGAAAGATGCTTTAAACATATCTTGAAAAACGACTCGGTAAATATAGTGGAACTCGTTTGCGTAATATGTTTTCATTTTTGAATGGAATTGTAAAGTTTGATTTTCCGTGTATTTTAAGTGAGTAGACAGTAGTAATTCACAGCTGTAAAGCTGTTGAAATAAGTACAATTACTAAATAAATTTTTATATTTAGTAGGAAACCTGAAGACTTTTATCACCTTTTGCAATTTCCCGCAAGATTTCCGTTCATATAAAAATAAACTCATTTCTTTAAAATCCGAATTGACTGTTTACAATTATTTATCAACTACGAAACATTTATATAATAGCTTTCCATCCTTCATTAGCAGTGTAAGACCAAAGATTAAAGGTTGCACGCGAGTTATTTCCATGTCCTCACTTTTATCAGTATACGTTATTTATGAGCCTTGGAGGAATTCAATTCCTTCCGACCTTCGCGTATTTTGAATAAAGCCTAATTAAACTACGATCTATTTAGCTAATCCCTTACAAGGACGTTACAAAGGTCTAGGACGATGTGATTGTTCAATTAACTACTTTTAAAGGGTAGTTAATGATCGTTTACATGTTTTTTAATGGGAAACTAAAAAAATTACCCGTTGAGGTAATAAAGTAAATGTTTTTTTCGCGATTAAACTTATCCGGTTCGGCTCTATTTAATCTACTTTCTATTCTCTGAAAATATTAACATATCAAACTATTTTATCAAATGTGAAAATCTTTATACCTATACATGCAGTATAGTAGGAAACCTTAAAAATTAAGGTTGTGTGATTGAAAAAAAAACCGTTCAAAGGAAGGAATGATCAAATTCTCCATGCATGCTGGTCAATTGCCATTTATAGAAAATGTATTGACTTCTCAAATATTAATCAGAGTATTAGCCTAGCGTTTTGCGTTTAAATTTTTAATATGTAACTATTTATAGCCTCGCATATAAGCTTGGGCTAATGGTTTGGAGATGAAAAAAGTAATTGGATTCATCCACTGATCAGGATTTAAGGAAACTCGAAAATCCGCTTTAAATTGGCAGTAATCGGTTATGTCTAAATCATGTAATTACGAAAATACCTACTCTTCATTAAACATTTATCACCGCTCAACACTTGCTAACACGAAAGAGTATCAATTTGAACATGAAAGAACCATATGAGATAATTCAAAATAATAAAGCGTTTTACGACAATTTTTTTACTATAGATATCGTCCATTTAAACCCTAAAAGCCGCATTTGCATGTTAGGTTTTGTAAAAAGTTGATATCAATAATAACGTAAAAAAGCCTATTTGCCATAAATTGTCGAGTGAGAAATATTATTTATCGCAAAACTAAAATGCCTATACTGTTTAGTTCACTATCAATTGATTTGACAATTTAATACAAACTTCACCTACTTAACAATGTGCACATTTAATTTTCTTGAAAACCTCAAATAGGTACTTGATACTAAACGTTTTGTGAATGAAATTATTGCTTATACTTTGAAGAGTTCTTCTTAACTACACAAGTCATATTGTGTTTTCCTTCATGAAGAGTGATTTTTTTACATACCTGCACATAGTAACACCATAATGATTTATTTACCTGTGCTTGTAGAATAAATTGTTTTCTTTTCGAGAAATTATTAATTAAGAAGTTAAATGATAAAATCGCCTACAAATATATTAACAGACCGCAACAAAAATTGCAGTTTTTCATAACAAACATTTTGTTTGATTAAATCGTACATTGTTTGGGCATTAGGCGCACTTACGAAATGCCCATTTGTTTCCTTTGATGGGCTCATTTAAAATTTATCGAACGGTTGTTATGGAAACTTTAAGGACATACCGTTTATAGGCTTGCACGTGCACGTGTTTGCTTGTGTTTAATATTTGCTAAAATTATTATACATTTTATTTATTATAAAGTTATTCAGGATCGCAAAAATAAAACTACGTTTAGTTTCGACTGGATTTGGTTTGTCTTGAATACGGATTACGAACATTTTTAGCGAATAATAAAATCAGTTCAAAAATTTCTGGTAATTAAGCAGAAAATAATGCGACAATTTCTCGTACTTTGGAACATTTGAAAGATGAACTGTTTATTTTAATGGCGTATACTTTTTGGATTTAATTTGAGACACAAACTGTATATATATGATATGATCGCAACGTACCGTGACCCCAATTAAAAATCGGTCATAAACATAGGAAAAATCGAACCAGTTGGAAAGCAAAAATTTAAAAAATATTTAAAGTTTAACAAGTATAGAGACATCGAAAAGTTTGGGGAGGCATTAATCTTTAGTCCTGAGTTAAGCTACTGAATGACTTAGACTTCTTCCAGTAAATGTTATTTAAGGCACTTTAAACAGAGAATTATTAATTTGATAACATTTTTTACTTCTTTTAATTTACGTGATACTCGTCAATGCAACTCCACGTTTTTTCAAGTATTAAAGTACACAAGAAGCAGTATATTTTAGAAGATATATATGGTTTTATATATGTTAAATTGGTAACTCGGAATGTAGATAGTTAATTATATCGCATTCGCAGTATTATCTATCGCATGATAGTTTCAGATTAGTGGTTTTCCAGTTAGAATCCTGAATTCTCATATAAGCACCTACTTTTATTATTATGTATGGTTGGAAATACATTTTACATAAAGGTCAAAATAGTGTCGTAAATTTGCTTCCAATTTTATTTATTTTAATTTATTTTGTACCATATGCTTTTATATTGTTCTGGTCCTTGCTGATAATGGAGACTTTTGTTATTGCTCAAATAAAAGAAATATGTCAAAGATGCGACCCTGAAAATAATAAAAATAAAGCTTTCCGCGGTAAAACAGAAGCTTGCAGCAGAAAAAATTGCCATTTCCATAGTTATTTTTATTGCACTTTTGGTGTAATGTGAGAAGATAATTTTTTGTTGTTTTATTAGCTGTTTTTTTGTTTAACCCGCCGATTGTCCTTAATTGTAGAATCAGGACTATATGAATAACATTTTTGTGAATAATCAATTAAAAAACTCTGACCAATTTCAGTGGAAACGCTTGCTTTGGGGAACAAAAATATGTACAACACCCAGAGGGTCCCAACAGTGTATTTGAATATTTTCTCTATGTTAATTAAAACATCGGGTCTCACATGATTTACTGTCTTTTCAATCGATTAAATTTGTTTAAGGTTGCATCATAAAAGTCCTTTCTTATTTACGTTGTACTAATATAGTCTGATCAGGGTTCTAGCCTTTAGAAGAAAATAGTCGGTATTACCACTGCTGACTACGTAATAAAATAAAAACCACCCAACCTCTGGATTAGTGTGTTTCTACTATGCCAGCGCAAAAGCTTCGAAAGCTCGCAGTCGGTTGTTTACATCGCGACAGTAAGCACGAAGCTTTTGGTCCAACCAATTCTACAAGTGCGTTTAATTTTGATTAACGAAATACTTTCACTCTTGATTTGCAAAAAAAATTGAGTGAAAAATGAGTCCAGAGACACCCAGTTCTTCGGGTAGTGACACATCGAGACCACCGTTGAAACCAGCAGAAGAAAGGCTGATGGTGGCTGTAAGAGTTCGACCATTAAAAAATGATGAGCCGCATAGAGTTTTATATGCAGCTGATAGAAAGGTGAAAGGTGGTTAAGAAAGTTTAGGAATTTCAGACGTAATTTGACGAGCGGTGTCTTCTATAAGTTAAGGAAATTGCATACACCGTTATGATTTGATTATTAGGTACCTATTTATATGTACTAAATAATCGTAATTTTCAGACATAAATAGGAGCCGAAATTAGTGGCAAAACTAACACTGCACTCGACCTAAAATAAATTATTTTAATTTTGATTGTAGATAATCAACGGTTAATAATTCAGTAACTATTGATTCTTGTCAGAGTTAAAGAACTAATTTGTTACCGTTGAATATTTCCTGTAATCTCGTCGTTTATCTAATCTAATATACGTTGACCGGATAACATCGCTAGACCTGGTTTCGATTGATTTCAATAATGTTGCTTTCAGTTTTTCAAAAACATGCGGCAGTGGACAACGGATTAATATAGAATATTCAAAGGGATTCTAATAGAAAATCATATCGGAATATAGTTTAAAATGATTTAATTACAATAGAGTGAATAGTTTTTTTGAATATAGGGAACGCTTTGTTGCTGAACCGCAAGATGTTAATATTTTGTGAAATAGTTGTCTTTATTTTTCTACAAGGTGCCAGCTAGGAGGCGATACAAAATTTTGACATCAGATTTATGGTAAAAATATGATCTAATAATTATCTGGTGAATTGGCATTTGCTTTCTCAGTAAAAGTTATCTTTTGAATGCTCTTGCGACTAAAACATTTATCGGTTGGTGTTTTGCCCCAGAGGTAACAAATAGTTGATTGATTGAAATACAATTACATTTACGTACACATTTTTTTGACTCTTTAAATTATTTGTAATTGAATGTACATGGACTTTTGTATGAAACTATACATCTTATTCGCAGCTGGCTGGAGTTTTCACTAGTCTGATATAATAGATCTAATTTACCTTTAACAATCTGGAATCAAATTTGATGGTAAAAACTCGTAGATTCAAAAACTTTAAGAGAATAAAATTACTTTTGTTAGACAAGAAATTTTATTCGTTTTAGGTCGCGGTTAGTCGCAATTATTTTTGGTTAGTGCGCACTTTAAAAAAAAATTGTGCTTTAGGTAAAGTTTCTACAGGCTGACACATGAAACATTGCAAAATTGGTAAAAGTTCCCCGTATGCTCATATCTCGAAATCGAAAATGTTTCAGAAATTTACGCCCATCTGGTATATTTATAGAGTGACCTGATCATAAAAAAATCAACTTTTGGTCTTGGAGTGCTAATTTTTTTCTTCAATCCGTTTTTGCAATCTATGGTTTATGTTGAAGCTAAAACTACACAGTACAGTTGAGAAAATAATAATTCCATATATCGGGATGCATTAATGAACAGAATACTTGAAGAAAAACTGCACTTTTTTGAAGATCTTCCAGAATTACAAATTTCGGGGGCAATTCTGATTTGGGTAATTTTTTATGCAACCCTGTATATCGAATTTTCATCTCAAATTGTCTATGAAGTTTTCGCTTCAGCATGAGCTCAACATCGTGAAAATCGTATCAAGAGCAGCAATCACTGCAATACCAAAAGGTTAATTTCTTGAGACCATCCAGTAAATGAAACAAATGGCCGAAAGATTCAGAAACTGTTTTGGCCTAATTGATTTATTATGATATTCTTATCTTTCCTGGGTCTCAGTTAACGTGTGAAGTATTTTTTTTTAATTTGTTTATTTCATTACGTTTCGGCGAGACAACAGCGCCATCATCAAATTTTTAAATTTACACAAACTACAAACACCAATTCACAATTAAAATATGTTGTATAAAAACTATAATTTACAAAGTGTTAAACTATCATCGGTTTTTGAGGGAAAAAATCCTTTCTTTTCAGATAGCAAAACACCGGAAAAGCTTACCTCATGATTGGTAAAAATCAACGTTCTTTTAGGTCTTTGCCTTCTTGAATCCTTAAATTTGTCTGAATTATTTTCTACATTTGCGAGAGTGGTATGCATGTATTGAGATAAGCAGAAATAGTTTTAATTTTTTACCAGTGTACTGGGTGTTCCATATTTATGGCTTTATTAGGGTTTGGTAAATGTTGCTAAGATTGTCGGTATCTGATCTGAAATTTACTGCTTTTGCATGTTTTTTTATTTGTATCACTTCTTGGATTCTTCTTGTATGATAATTTGTTTCCCTAACTAATATATATGCGTTGTTAAAATCAAAATTATGTAACATTTGGTGTGCATGTTGTGTTAATGCTGTTTTATTTTCACGAGTATTTCTCAGACTGTATTATGTTCGTACATTCTCTTTTTTAAATATTGTTTAGTTTATCGTATATATGTATTATCACATTCTAAACAATTCACTCTATATACAGTATTTGGTATATCCATTTTGTAAATTATAGTTTTTGTACAACATATTTTAATTGTGAATTGGTGTTTGTAGTTTGTGTAAATTTTAAATCTAATGATGGCGCTGTTGTCTCGCCGAAACGTAATGAAATAATCGAATTTTCAAAAAATTTTTACTTTACACTTTGATTGAAACCCAGGAAAGATAAGAATATCATAACAAATGCAGGCAGCCCGAAAAATAAATCAGATTAATTGATTTATCTTTCACTTTTGGTTGCGAGACCAAAAACACTTTATTTTTCTCTAGCTAGGAGCATGAAATTGAAACATGAATATTTTCCTAAATCTAGTCTAAGTAGTAAGTGTCTACTGAAACTTTTCAGCGCTTTTCAAGTAGGTGGATTCTTATCTGGGAGCATAAACATGTACATGTTTCCCCCTCGATTTTTTTAGTTGTTGCACATAAAATACGTACTATTTTTTTATTTAAAAGGGGCAAATTGTTCCTGATCTTTTACCTCTCTAACTTCAACCCATATCGGATAGTTACCCCATGTATTACTAATAGGCCGGTGTGTCGGGTAGGAATTGCTACAAATTTTGGCCTTATGACCAAATTATGAATTATGTTTGTCACACCTCATTTTGAAGGTATTTTAATCCAAATTATAACCTGGAAGTGCTTGCAATGTTATTTAACATCCATACAGTAATGATTGGTTCTCAAGTTCTGTATTCTCAATTTCTTAAAAAAAGTTTTAAATCGTTATTAATTTTTAGGAAAACCTTTAAATAACTCGGGAATTTTCTGAGCTGTGAACTTTAGGGGTAATTGTTGCTTCCACACAAAAGTTGGGGTTACAGTGTTTAAAGTACAGGAAAAAACTATTCTTAAATTAAAACTAAATATTGACATGTTTGAGCGTTTTTTACATCTTTACAAAACAACTGGAAAATAAAGTTGTATAAAATTGATGACTATATTTTCGACTGTTTTTTTTTGTGTGTTTAGAAACCATACAAAATATATTTCATTTTGACACCATGTAGTGAAATTCTAGCCTTTTTTAGATTAGGTCTTGAATTATTTAGAATGCTTGATATATACATACAAACTTTTGTAGATATAAAATATTAAAATGTATTTTAAATATTATATAATAAAATATTTGTCGTGATATACAAGAATTTTTTTGCGGAAAATGCTCACTTTATTCATTTAGAGTTACTGGATGTTCTGGCAACATCTACATTAAAACTTGGTGACAGCAAAGTTAAGAATAATTAATAATATTATGAAAAATAAATTGTTGTATTAGAACCCACTCACGGTATTTAGTCCGGTATGCAATTGAACTTACTTCATGTGCTGTACATATAATTATTTACTTAAATATTTTATAAATCTTTACGTGACTTCAATCAACTTATTGATTGCTTCCTGTTAAATAATAACTATAGTTTAATAAGAAAAATGTTAATAAAACTGTGTGATAAAAGCACTATTTAAATTGGACACATACATTGGGCATTAAAAATTATGTTGACTGTTTTATCATAATGAACAGCTTATTTGTGCCTTAAATGACGAGGTAAAAAGCCGCAAGAGTGTTGAAAGTGCTTTACGAAGAGATATTTTATTATTTTCTGTTCCATGCAAATTGTAGAAGATGATAGTTTCTTCACGGAAGAACTTTCAAGATAAAGTCTTTACGAATTAATGCTATTTTTCCCTATGTGACCACTACAAATATACAGATAGTAAACATACCTAATTAAATTAGCTTGTATGAGAAATGAAGCAAATGAGCTTTTAATAATTAATCAGCGACCCACTAAAGCCGTACGTTTTATTGGTGCAATTAAAAATGATTTTTATTCGAGCAAGATAAATAATACTAATACCTACGAGCATGTAAATCTCCGTCCTGATTTGTATAAATCAAAACCAGCGTTTCCCTCTAATTAATTCGGCTTTGATGGTGGCCTTAGCACAGTTAATAACAACAGTGGACAATAACTTCATACGAAAAATATTTCCTTGATTTCTCCCTCATTAATTATTCATTGTGGCGAAGCGCAGATCCCAAAACGTATATTACTAGAATAATTTATATTGATCGCCTCTAGTGGATTTTATTTTTCTAAAGGGCTTATTTCATTAAATACTACAACTGTAGTAATACTGCACTCACAGTTGAAATAGAAATACACACACTAATAATTCATTTTCTATGTGAGACCGACCATAATTATTGTTCAACAGTTGTTCATGCACAATTAATATTAGTCCCGTGTTCTCCCAATTACAGCTTTACTCTGTTGGTATAATTAGTAAGTTTTTTGCATAATCACTTTGATTTGGGAACTATTCGAGAAATATTCTGACCGATTGCTTAGAGAGAATAAGCGAAAGTAAGCATAGCGGGTAAAATCGAAATAATCATCAAATCAGAATTAAGGCGCTAAAAACGCAAAAGAAGACAAACAGACGAAGTATTTTTATGTACTTATTTAATGTAAAGCAAATTTAAATTTTAGAACAAATTTGATGAAACAATTCTGATTTGAATAACTACTAATGTCATTTATTTAATATTTATCAAGCCATTTGAAATTGAAACCAAAAATGTACAAAAATAGACATAAAATGTAAATCCATACAAA